AGATTTTAGCCTCCACCTTAATTCATTTTTGTAAAGGCGGATCTATGAATGTGGATGACTGTTCTTCTTTTCAGCACTATATGTAATTTCGATCCATTTTAAAGGAATGTCTGCACAAAGCTAAATTTGCTTTAATGATAAAGTTCTCCAGGTTATATATTTAATACTATGTACTATTAATAAAAGTCTTCTCTATTAGATTATTTCTATTTACAAAACGCAGGAATGAGAGTTAGAATGAAAATATATTATTTGCTCTTCCATCATCTGAGCAGTTCCCCCCTCTGTGTTTAAAATCATACAATCGAATGCATATTAAAACTTAGTTAGCGTTATGCATTGCTCACCTCAGAGCCTATTTAATTAAATGGAATTTGTTACCAGATTAAAACCTTATTTTTATATGTAAGTATGTTTAGGTTTAATCTACCAGGATTTAAATTTTGTCAGGTGACACTTAGACGTATGCTCTTAATCCATCAGACACAAGTTGAATCTGGTTTTAATGTCTTATAAATATATTTGGTTTCATTAACTTTTGTACCGGTTTTGAAGTCTTTTTGAAATTCTTCATTTTCTGTATTTAGATGAGTCTTTATTTAATTAGCTGATTAGGAGAAATAGATGGGAAAAAGGTAACGTTTTACAACTGTTTCTTTTCACTTTATAAAATAATACATTTTTATTCTTCAATTTTCACCTCTTTTCTTATCTCTAAGTGGCAACATGTTTATAGGGAAAAGTACTTGAAGTAGTGGTTCACTGTGGCATACAGAACTGAGGTTATGCAAGCAGAACACTTGTCACTACTAATTAGAGGGGATTGAGAATTTATTTATTTATTTATGTTTATAACATATCTCATTTTTTGGAGTATAAGACGCACCCTTTTCCCTAAAAAAAGAGACTGAAAATCTGGGTGCATCTTATACACTGAATACAGCATTTTTGGCCTCCCGAAACCCTGCCCCCTTCTAAATGGCTGTGCATAGCCTTCAGGAGGCTTTCAGGGTGCTCCTGGGTGGTGGGAAGGGCAGAAATGAGTAAAAAACGGTATCTATCTTGCTCAATTTTGCCCCCACCC